AGAATCTTTGTTTTCTTGATGTTGAGTCTTCGTCATATTGAAGACTGCAGTCCTTGACCTTCGGGAGAAAATTCAAGTTCCCCTCAGTTTCGGCAAGCAAGGCTGTCTCTTCTTAATAACACAGGTTGTTGATGAGTCTTCCTCCAATCTTGATCCATATTCTCCTTCATAGAGTCCAGTCTCCCGAATTATCTGCTCCAATGTAGATTGAAAAGATACGGATAAAGAACATATCCCTGAAAAACTGCTTTCTTGATTTTGAACCATGCAATATTTCCTTGCTATGTTCAGAGGACTGCTTCCTAGTTCAAGTATAGGTTTCAAATAAACAGAATCAAGTGTTCTGGGATTGCCATTCTTCTCAAGGTTAGCCACAACTGGTCATGATCCACACAGCCATATGCCTTTGTGTAGTCAATGAAACAGATATACATTGTTTTGGTACTTTCTGCTTTCAGGCAAAATCCATCTGATGTTAGCAGTGATATCCCTAGTGCCATGGCCTCTTCTAAATCTAGCTTGTACTTCTGTCACTTTCCAGTCATTTTTGTATAGTCTTCAGCAAGGTTTCGCTTGCGTGTAATGTTAGTGATATTATTTGATAATTTCCACATTCTGTAGGCTTAACTTTTTTGGGACTGGGAATATGGGTCTCTTCCAGTCAGTTGGCCGAGTAGCAATCCTCCAGATTTCTTGGCACAACCTGATGAGCACACCCAGGGCAGCATCTGTTTGTTGAAATATGTCATTTGGTAGTCCATCAATCCTTGGGGCCTTATTTTTTTGCCAATTCCTTCAGAGAAGCTTGAATTTCCTCCTTCATCACCACTGCTTCTTGATCATACGCTGTTTAATGAAATTCTCCTGTGTCATTTTTTTTAAATATAGTGACTCTGTGTACTCCTTCCATCTTCTTTTGATGCTTCTTGGATCACTCAATATTCTACCCATAGCATCTTTAAGTACTGTAACTCGAGGTTTGAATTTGTTCTTCAGTTCCTTCCTTCATCTTGAGAAATGCTGAGTTCATCAGAGTAGCAGCAAGCTGAACACAGGCTTTCTCACCATCAGGCCTAATCAAGGTGTTGACCTTGACCTCATCAATGTCACAGAGCTTCTTCACAGCTTGTTTGACCTGTTGGTTGTCATCTGTCTTGACATCTACAATGAACACAAGTGTGTTGTTATCTTCTCTCTTCTTCATGGCTCAGTGGTCTGGGGAAACTTGATGATGGCATAGTGGTCAAGCTTGTTTCACCTGGGAATGCTCTTCTGGGAGTATTTGGGGTCCCTGCAAAGTTTCAGTGTCTTAGGATGCCAGAAAGTGGGTGATGCGCGCACCTTTTTTTATTGTGACTGTGGGTGCCCTTCAGGACCGCCTTCTTGGCCTTTAATGTCTTCCTCTGGCTTCAGTTTTAGGAGGGGCAGCGGCGTCCTTCTTTGTTTTTGGCAAACTTTGAGCAAACTTATCTACCAGTAAGCAGATAAAATGCAGAAGGAAAATGATGTCATTTTGTCAAGGCTGCAAGGCTAAGTCAGAACTATTTTAAGCTATCTCAATGTAAGATACTATTGTTGCTCTCCCCCCCTTTTTATTGTGATTTTAATGAAAGTTGACAGAAAAGTTGGATTTCACCTTCTTTTTTAATCAATCATTGTTCTTCTTACTACTACCACCATTATGATGAGACTCCAGAGATGTCAAAGAATGTCAAGTTAAGAGCATTTCAAAGACTGCACAGTGGAGTAGACTTGAGGGGAGGAATTGTGTAAGAGTGAAAGAATTTTTCTTTTACTTTTCAAAGAGAAGAGCTAACTGGTGGGGAGCGGAGGTTGGGCAGGAAGAAAAGTGCAAAAATGAATGACTGGAAATCAAAAGTCTCTGTAAACTTTCATTAAAATTAATAATTAAAAAAAATTAAAAAAAGAGCATTTCCCAAAGTGTCTTAGAGGTAGCATATATGGATAACATATACACTACTCAGCCCTAGGCAGGGCCTGGATCCCCAAGGAATAAACAGAGAGTCTCGTTTGGTATCAGTGGTAGGAGCTAAGGGATCCTAGGAGAAGGGGCTGATAGTAATATAATTTCTTATCACAATCTCTCTTGTAGTGTACTGCCAGCACATCACTGGGGTAACAGAAGGAAGGGAGAAGGGGGAAGGCCACCTACCATCTCTTTATCTGCAACTTCAAGGGCAGCTCCTGGTTATAAGCACAGGGCAAGAAACCTGATAGAACCAGAGAACTCAAACCTTGTACTGTAAGAGCTGCAACCTATCTCCAGCCTTGCCCCAGAGTGCCCCATCAGCCTGGGAGATTTCAGACACCCAGAGATGATTCAAGTTCCATCTTCATGGATGCGCACAGCAGTTATCTTTGGAATGATCTGCTTTTGCTTCTTAGGACACTAGCAAAGATCCAGCTATGCTTCCGAAAGAGATTTTTGCTTGTTCTATGGGCTCCACTTCTCAGCTGACTCACTGACTTAGCTGAGTCACCACCATTCATTTTACACCAAGGACTTCCAAGGCATACAGCTGTTTTTTGCTTCATGAACCTGAACTTGTCTCTTGGCCTCTCTCAGATTTCCTTCGTTAATCTGAACTAAATGACAAAGGAAAATGGCTGGCCTGAAATCTATCATCACAAGAGTGTTGGGCTCGCATGGTTTTGGACTGAGCTGTAAGCTGTGCCCCATCAGAAACTTTCAGGATTTACAGATATCCTAGTGTCTTAGGGATTAGAGTTGTAAAGAACCCAGAGAAAGGGCAGAGAATGGATCACTGTGCTCATCTCTTTACAAGAGCCCCTCTGAAGCAGAGGATAAAGAAAGAAAACTGCCAATAAGCTCAACTGATGAAGCGGCCACCGCCAATGTACTTACCCCCCCATGGTGAAGAAGGTGGAGGTCTGGGAAGCCTCTCTCATCCTGTTGTACATAAGGGTGTCATGAGTCAATTCAACAGGAACTAGTAACAACTCCATCAAGGAAGGAAAAGAAGCCACAAGCAGGGCTAGAAGTGCTGAGAAGTCACAGTCCCCCCACTCCTGGAATAGGCATGGGGCATGGAGCAGAAATAATCTATGTTTATTTCAATAATGAAACACAACCGTAAGACCCTGGGCAACAGAATCAATGGTGCCTCCACGTTCAGACTTACGGAGCCCTCGTGGCATCTTTGCTTCTCTAGTGGTTCAATTCCACCAGCAGTTCTTTGGGAGAGAGATGGGCAGTCTCCTCCTGTGTGATATATGGTCTTGAAAACCTACTGGAGCTATGGGTTGGATGCAACTCGACAGGAAAGAGAGAGATAGAGATATGAGAGAGAGAGAGAGAGAGAGAGAGAGAGAGATATCCAAGACTTGGCAAGAACCCTGCCCTAAAGTGCTACTGGCCTTATAAGGCAAGAAACAATGTTAAAACTAAGGCCAATCCTTTTGTCATGCCCAGGGAAAAACTTCTATTACAGTAACAAAGAGCAGTGAACAAATACACCATTAGGATCAGGTGCACCACTCCCCATTCTGGTTTCCAGTTAGCAGATACAGGGAACCTGCTGAGGGGTGTCCATCATTTCCAGAGCACAATTCCATAATCAGGTGTGGCGGAGCAACTTTTAGAGTCTGGAAGGAATGAAGAAGGAAGAATTCTATTTCCAGTGGCGAGTCTGAGACAAAGACAATCTGTCACCATACAATACAGAAGCCTGAGTAGATGAAAAGGCTTCTGAAGCTCCACATTCAAGTTAAGGAAACCAATCCAGGCGAGCCAGAGCCAGTCTCTGTGGTCCTTCTGGTCATGTCCAAAGCCTATGAACACTAACAAGAGGTGGCTTTGGTTCATTTTAAGTGCTTGGGACTTGCAGGACATGAGTGGATCACCAAGTGTATTACAAGCATTCTCCCTTCACTACATCTTTTTAAGAACAATACTCCTGATGGCTCCATTAGACTTCACAGAATGGATGAACCAGGTGAGAAGAAAACACTACAATTCCAGCTTCGAGTGCCCAGGGCCCAGCCCTGTGTGCTTTTTTGGTGCTGTACAGTGATATGCTTCCAACCAAACATGTAACCCCAAATCAACTAATTCCAGGGATTGAGGAAAGACAAAGGGAACAAAGTAACTCACAGAGATTATACAACAAAAGGGACAAACGCAGCAATTTTGTCTCTGGCTGCAGAATGGGCGCCAGTGAATGAATCTCCCAAGAAACCTGTGGATTGAGAATATGGTTTCTATCAGAACTTAGCCTGACTCTGTCCTGGTACCAGATAGTAGGCAAAGGGATGTCTGCCACTAATGTTGGTTTCTGCCTCCCTTTGGGGGTTTCTTGGAGAACAGACTTAACTATTTCCTTTACTGTAAGCTGACGGAACTTTATCTCTTTCTTTCTTACTGAGGCAGCTCCCTCTGCCTTCTGCAGGTTTATGCAGGTAGGTAGGACACACAAGGGACAGGCAGGCAGTGTGCCAGGTCTACTCATTCTTTCTCTCCCACACTGGAGCACCTGGCCTTCTGACCTCCAGCAGGCATGAAAGGGCTCAGGAAACAGAAAATCTCACATCAAATGACGTTCAATTCATGATGGTGGCGGACGAGTGAAAAGAGGAGCAAAGTCAATCACAGAACAACCAATAAAGGCAGTCCCAGGGTCGCGAGCAAGTTCCAGTCCTAAATCTGTCTTTAAGTCAAATTTGTACATCCACACTGGAAAAGTCAGGCACAGTTCCTATTTAACAACAGTTAGTGAAGTATTTGTTTTAGAATAGAGTAGGTGTTCCTTTGCATAATACGACACTTCAGATACACTAAACCTTCTTTGTCATAACAATAACAATACAGCAATAATAATGGTTTGATGCATCTTGCAAAGTAGTGCCCTGATGTCATTACAAACCATTGTACGTACCTTGAAATTTTCATATAATGGGTTTTACTTGCATCTATTGCTTGCACATAAATTGGATGTTCGTAACCTGGGGACTGCCTATATTGGTGTTTGGGACGCTTGAACTCAGGGCAAACCAAAGGACTCCATCTAGGACAGGCTCGGGGCATACCCAGCTGGCTGAGGAGAGGCGCAGCAGACTGATTTGGCTGAGTGACTCTGTGGTGTCACTCAAAAGGCGAGGAAGACTGTGGAGGATGGGGGTCATGCACACGCCCCTCCCTCCCCTACACAGCCTGAGCTGATGGCCACAGCCCCTCCAGTGGACATGGGTGGAAGGCCCTGCAGGGTAGGAGACTCTGAAGTGGCCCTGTTTCCATCCCCTCCATCTTCAAAGTGCATTATCAGTGCAAGAAGTAGGGTTGGATCTCAGGAGGTCCAACTCTGAGAAAGGGCTGTGCCAGCCAGCTCTCCCCATGTCCTCCTGCCTCCCCCTCGCCCACCTTGACCTTTTCAGGCTAAGACCAGAACTCTTGCTGGATCTCATAAGGGGCAGGCCTGTGTGTGTTCAGTTCAGCTCTGCACAGCGGCACAGTGCTGTCCTGACTCTGCCCCTCAGCATCCAGGTCCAGAAGCGTCCGCTCGGCAGGCGGTAGTGACCCTGCCTGTAAGGGGAGCAGGGCTGGGAGGCCAGGCCGCTCCTCCACAGTGCTACTGCTGCTCGCAAAGCAGGAGTCCAGGTTGCTGGGTGTCTCTGTGCTGGAGCTGTTGGCTGGGGAGGCGCTGCGGGCGTGGCTGGGGGACACAAACCACCAAGGGTCCAGCCGTTGCCGATTGGCAGAGGGTCTCGGTCGAGGCAGAAACTCCAGGGTCTTGGGTCTCTCCAAGGTAGAGTCCTGTTGTGTGTTCCAGCGCCTTGGGGTTGGGGGGAAGACCACATTGGGGTCAGGGAGACGTGGAACTTCACCTGGGTCTCTGCTAGGGCTGGGGGTTTTCAGCATTCCTGGTCAACAGACAAAAAAAAAAGAGGGGCATCAGATGACGGGCCCAGATTCCTCAACCAGATGTACTCTTTTCTCACCTGCCATATTTTTACTCATTTGGTTGGCCTAGTATTTATTGAGTACCTACTGTGTGCAGTATGCTGGAAGGCACTGGGGATACAAGAATGAACTAGAAGACCCTGGTCCCTGCATCTGGTAATGAGAATAGGGCAACCAGCATCACATCTTTAATGATATCATTTGAGTCAGACGTCAGCAGACTTGGGAGGACAACTGGCCACCTGTTTTGTGAATAAAGTTTTCTTGAAAGTCACTCGCACCCATTTGTTCATATAACATTCACTTTAGCACTCCGACAGGACAGCTGAACAGCTGCAGCAGGGAATGCACGACCCACCAAAAATCTAGAGACTGCTGGCCCAGGACTTCAAGGAATGTCCATTCATTCAACAGTTCATCTAATTAATAAAAATATGACAGGAGCAGAGCAAGGAATGAGAGGTCTCAGAGTGAGTAATAGAAGGTCTCTGTTTGCAAGTAATTCACATGTCTGAATATCTCCTAACATTTCAAATGGGGATTGGGAAACAGCATGGTAAAATTCATTCCCACTCAAATCTCAGTGAGAGGGTTAATGCAATCCCTCCCTTCCAATGGGTCCGGAGTTTTCAAGCCAGACTTCTGTTTTACTGAGAGCAGTGGCTGTGAGGGAAAATATCGAGGATGAAAGTGTGTTTACCCAGGATTACCAGGTGTCAGATAGAAAAGCAAGTGCATGTCCATGTGTAGGAACATTCATGGACATATATGCAGGTGTGAAGACTCAGATGTGAGTCCGGGCCTGAGTGCTGAGGGCTGTGAGGCATAGGAAGAATCTTATCCTTGTGTGTGTGTCCTGATGCTGTAATGGGAGCAAGAGTTCAGCTCCGTGGCAAACAATACGCCTCCTCTGTGCCATACATTAATTCCCTTCTGGTAACGCCAATGTCCTCTTTATGGAATGACCGAAGGCTAGTGCCCTGTGTCACTGCACTGCTCTACGATCCCAGCCCTGAACATCCCACAGGATTTTGAGTTATGATCCCTTCTAGGACCTGTCCACACATTGGGAAGGACTTCTGAGGTACAGGACTGAAAGAAGGTGACCAGCCTTGTCCCACGCAATGGGGAAGACCTCTGAGGCAGGCACAGGACAGAAGGAAGGTAACCAGCCTTGTCCCACGCAATGGGGAAGACCTCTGAGGCAGGCACAGGACAGAAGGAAGGTGACCAGCCTTGTCCCACGCAATGGGAAGACCTCTGAGGCAGGCACAGGACAGAAAGAAGGTGACCAGCTTCAGTTACCTCTTCCACCTCAGATCAATCAACCAATTGTATGAATGGCTGAGGAGGAGGACTAGAGTTCACTAATTCAGAGGTGGAAAGAGGAAATGAGATACTGGTAAACTTCTCCACTGCCCTGGGAGACAAGAGGACAGGACTCACCTGCTCCAGGACTGGGGCTCAACCCATTGCTGGAGGGGCTTCTGCTGGTTAGGAGAACCGCTGGCTTAAGGGCCCCATCAGAAGGAGTCCGCCGGTGGCCACTTGGTTGCGTGGGAGCCGTAAGGGTGACGTGGGTGGGAGTGAGAGACTGGTTGGGGTCTTTCTTGAAGCGTTCCACTCGGACATTGACCAGGGGGTTGTGGGTGCAGGGGGTGAGGGGTGGGGCCTCAACGGGGCTGACAGGCATCTCATACACCACAATCTCATCGCTGTCGGAGCGCAACAGGGAGCGGGTGGAATTGCATTCAGAGATGGAGGAGAGAGACAGCAGTGTTAGGGAGGCAGAGGGGTCGCCTAGCAAGAGCATGGGTTCTTCCTTCTTGAAAAGCTTTCGGGAGGGAGGGCTGGTGCTCCGACGAGGACGGCTGGCCCTTTGAAAAAGGCCCTCCCGCCTCTTTTTCTCCTCCCGGGCTGGTGGCTCAGGTTCTTCTGGGGGAAGCAGCTGGCACTTGCCAGCTTCCAGCAGATCAAACCCTAGGCCTGTGGCTGCGAGAACAGCCCCGCAGCCAAGCAGAGCCACCTCACAGCGGCGGTGGTGGGTACCACCCCGCTTGAGGCTATTGGTTGGCGTCAGCTGAGGGGTACTGGTGGCTGAGTTGACTGGGGTGGGCTCCTCGTGGATTCCATCACTCGAGGGGCCATCCCCATCCTCTCCACGAGGGAACGGGATACAGAGGTAGGACTGGTTGGGTGAATGCTGTAGGCGGCTCTCTGCATTCCTCGGGCCTTCGCTATCCTCATCCTCTGTAAAGTGACAGGATTGAAGGGAAAATAGAAAATGGGAATAGAGCAACACCAGTAAGATTCATCTCCTGCCCACCCCAGACTCAAGACTCCTTGTTTAGTTTCAAAAGGGCAAATATTCTATTGGGTAGGTAGAAGGGGGAAGCGGGGATCCAGTCTACAGGGTTTTACTGCCCCCAGTCAACTCTGACCAACGTGGGGTAATTAGTCTCCATTCCAGAGTCTTTTTGTCTACTTGTAGAACAGAGGATATGCTAATTTGCAATCTCATTCCATCAAGACCCTCCACCCAAGTTGGAAAAGAGGTCTAAAGGCTTGGGAGGCTTCCCCACAAAGACGGTAGGCGAGGCCTGTGTCATATCACTAAGTAAAGGACTAGGTGTTACAGAAAGGGGCCGGATGCCTGGAGTGGGTCCATTCTGGAGGATGACACACTTCTTAGTCATCCTCATGGAGAAAGAGAGGCCCTCAGAATCTATAAGCCCAAATGCAGTATGAGTTTCTCACAACAAAAAGAAACATTCCTAATTTTTTTGCACCTTAAAATTGGAAGGGCTCTTGGATTTCTAGAACAATGACCTAGAGGCTGGTTTAAAACCACTCACCTGCAAAGGATGAGACACCCCTATGTAAAGGAAGGCCAGTTTACTCTATGGACTGACTATTAAGACCATGGACCCCTATAGTGGTAAGAGGACAGGGAGGGAGGGCCTAGAGAGGATTGTGTCCATGTAGTAATCGTAGGTCAGCACTGGAAAAGTTTCCTTGAACAAAGTTACAATGTCTTCCCTATCATCCCTTGCTTTGCCAATGGCCCATATAAAAATATGAGGAAATAAACTCAGAAAGGGGAAATGCTTGACTCATAGCCTCACCCTTCTGCTCTGCCTAAGGAGACAGTCACTGGCTTAAGGAGACCGAGTGAAGCCAAGGGCAAGCTGGCTCCAGGAGGCAGCAGGAAGAACTGTGATTAGGAAAGACTCGGTGGAACAGAAGTAGGGTAAACTCAGAGAGGATCATATTAGGAGTGTAGGCTTGTGGGAGATGAGTAACAGAGGAGACAAGCACCAGGAAATGGCAGGAGGGACTCTTAAACAGTCATGCAAGCTTGACTAACAATTCCCTGAAAGAAAAGAGAACCAACAAAGGCTGGTGCTTACCCATCTCCATAAGGCTGGTGAACCCTGGCAGGGCAGGGCTGTTCCTTGGGCCCTTCCCCAGGTTAGGGGCACTGGATGACCACTGTTTGTATCCATCTACTAGGGACTTGAGGCTGAATAAGCAGAAATGGGGAAACTGTTAAGAACTGGTTCCTTCTGTTATTCTACGCTTGGTTCCATGAAACTGGAGAAATGTCCATCCCTAGCTGCTCAATGACACCAAAGCCCAAGACGTTTGGAATGCAGGCAACAAATCTCAGAGGACCCACTCACTTCGTAAACCACAGGACACACACGCAATGATGGGCAAGTGGAGGTACAACGTTCAGTCCCCGCTCACATGCTGCTGGGAATAGTTGGTGGGCAGGCTGGTAAACAGGCAGGAAGCACAGAGACTGCTCAGGAGCAGCTGAGGTCTTGTCTGAGCTCTTCTCAACGGAGAAGCAATCAGCCCAGAGGTGCCAAATGCAATGTATTAACGACATCAGGCAAGCACTGGGCATTAGGAGATACCCACATGGGCTAGGCCATTCTACTCATATGACTTTGCAGGACCTTCCAAGCTTAGGACATGCTTACACAGCTTTCAAAGCCATTGTAAAAAAAAAAAATCAACAAAATTGCCTAAGATGTACCAACTCAGTGCACTTTGGGACAGATCTGTGCCAGCTGTATATAATATTATACTCGATCCCTCCTCTTCTCTTAGGGGCAGAGAGGAAAAGGACAGGAATCTCACTTTCAAACCCTGTCATCAACTTATGCTGATAAGCCAGTAATTCTCTAAGGATATAGATTGTTGCTGCTGTTAGGTGCTCTCGAGTTGAGCACGACTCATAGTGACTCTATGAAAAGCAGATCTGAATCCCGTCCTATCCTGTGTCATTTTCACACTTCCTAACACACTAGAGCTCATTGCTGCAGGCACTGTATTTATAGAGTTTTTAGAGGCCTGTTATTTAAGAAGTGGATTGCTAATCTTGCTTCCTAGTCACTCTTAATCTGGGAGATCTACTAAAACTTGTCCACTATGGGTAATCCCTATGGCATCTGACACACCAGTAGCACAGCTTTCAGTATTACAGCAACCCACAAGTTATCTCAGTGCAGTAAAATGACGGACAAGCCCTGTACCAATTAGAACAATGTTCTCCCCAAACACAACAAACTATTAATTTAGTTTGTATCTCTAATAGCAACTCAGTCTTCATAGGATACAGATTAGGTATTCCCTACCCCCATTGGTGGGGAATGATGGGTGAATTAGAGACCCAGAACACTGGTCTTTTTTGCTATGTTGTTATGTGCAGTCGAGTTGAGTACAACTCATAGCAATCCTGTAAACAACAAATCTGAATGGACCTTGTCCTATCTGGTGCCATTCTCATAATTTCTGATATAGGACAGTACAAAAGAGGACTATAATCTCTACAGTATGGCTGCCTTGAAGACATCAGGATTATAATCAGAGGTGACCTTTTTCTCCTTCTTTCTCTATATCTTAAGGACTATTCAACGAAAGGGAATTCTGATGGCTTAGTGGTATAGAGTTGTGCTGCCAATGTAAAGGCACAGGGTTCAAATCCACAAGCTACTTAGCATGAAAGATGGGCAATCTCCTCCCATGCAATTTACTGCCTCTGAAAAATGGCATTCAAAGGGCTGGAGGGTCAGCTATGAGTCAGCTGCAACTTGATGGTATATAACAACAACAACATTCAACTAAAGCCTGTTCTTTCAAGAGTCCTAGTCCATCTTTTTCCTCTGACCTCAGAATTTCAAGAACCATTAGAAACATCCATAAACTATATTTCTATGCCACTCATACCAGCCAACATCTAGAACCAGAGATAAGTGTATTGCTAAATCCATAGCTTGAGATTCCAAATGGAAAATCTTGTAACATCACCTCCATCTCAGCGAATCCAGATTACCTAAGTCAAAACCAGAGCTAAAGATCAAAGGAAAACCAGTCATGCACATCTTCTTAAAACTAAGAGACTATTAAGAATACCAGAGGTATCCCAACAAAGAGTCTGGCAGACAAGTAAAGAATAAGAACAAGTATTATCAACACAGGTCTTTCCCCAAGGTGCACAATGGTACTGCATTTAAAAAACAAACAAACAAACCAACCACAAAAATCAGCACCACTCTGGCAATGAGAGAATGTCCTAAGGGAGATGTTGTGTGAACAGGTAAATAAATGGCAGACACACTGTTACCAGCACAGGTGAGGAAAGGGTGTAGGTTAGACTCACCCCAAGTGGAAATGTGGAGATTCTGATGGGGTACTTAAACCATTAGCTTTCTCACGTCTCTGAGGGGATCTTCAACAAACAAAGAGAATAAGTAGCAGGCAGAAGAGGACACATCCAGCTTAGTCTCTCCCACATCAGAACCTTCAAGGTTGTACTGCCAGCCACCCACCTCTGGTTAGTAGAGCCCACATCAGGCAAGAATCTGACAAGATGGCCCTGCTAGGATGGCCACAGGCCTGGGACCTCCCAATCTGAGGGGCAAAGGTCCTTAAGCAGATAATTGCAAGGGGCATGTGACCCTACACATACCCACACTTTTTACAGACAGTACATTTATTTTCTACAGATGTATACTCTTTTCTTTTTTTTAATCTATTTAAACTATATTTGGCAACATAGTAAGAATTCATGTAATTATATATGAAAATATTCCAATCTCCAACTAACTGGAAAAAATTTTTGTGTGCGTTTTAGTATCTGAAAAAACAAGCAAATTAAAAGCAGGCTTTTTTTTAATAGATGAAGATTCACAAAAAAATTGCAGATCCATTTTACATTATTGACTTCAAGATGGCTTCTTTCTTTATATATTTTCTTCAGGCAACAGGCAGTAAAAATAGAAATACTATCATATAGAGATTCTAAAAAGAGCCTGAGACCAAAGTGTTCTTATTTGAGGTGCTATTTCTTCTACAGGCATTGTGAAACAAACAAGCAAACAAAATAATAATAAAGCTTGTGCTCTGAATTGCTTCAAAAGTTTGTGACAGTGAACTGATAGAGGGAGGAAGAAAATTCCAGAGTTACTATTTTGTAGTAAAATAAAGTTACAGCAAACCAAATAAGAAACAGCAAGCAAAAGGCCTTTAAAGGAAGCAGAACACAGAAACTCCTGGGCTCCATAGCTATCCCAGTAAAATCCTGTCTGGAATCATAGTGATGTCAGAAATATCAGGGGATTCTGGGTGACTGAGTTTCTGAGACCTGCTTTACACAGCCCAGGGTTCAGATGGCAGACTTGCAAGCTCTTGTCCTGGAGAGCTTAGTATATAGAAGAGTGATTTGCCACCTTCCAAGGACTCCATCACTGAATTCTCACATGGTTCAGGTGGTTTGCCTTATATTTTTAAAATCTGTCATCCAAAAGTATCCAGTAATTTCTGGAGCCTGGCTTAAGATGATCAGTCCTTTTTGAACCCAACTGCTATTTTCATCTTCAGCTCAGTTCTGACAAGGGAAAATGGATGGACATGAAATCTTCATATCTGAAGGGTTATCTACACTAACTACAGATTTGGGCACCTGTAAGTAAGGATATAAAGTCGAATAGTTAGCCTTGGAATGTCTCTAGAAAACGACTTTAAAAAGGGGTAGGTGTTAGGAAACATCATTTTTCAGGCATGAAAGAAAACTACCAAGGTGCAGAAGATAATCACCATAGTGTTCATAGTTTCACATGCTTACACTGAGCTGGCCGGTCTTCTAGGCACTTCATGAGCATAAACTTACTGCGTTCTCATATCAATTCCACGAGACAGGTACTCTGACTATTCCCATCACACTGGAGGCCAGGATTCACAGGTAGGCATCTGATGTTGGCATCTATTTCACTACCACTTAATGAATGCCTGGTCGGTGAAGAACTCGGGAGAACGGAACTCCCAGGCCACAGCTCACAAGCACATCTAAGGTATCAGGTACAAGTTTTGCTTTTTCCAGACATGTTTCCATTCATACATGTTAGTACAGTTATGGGGTAAGGGATGACTTGGAGTTACATGCATCGGAGTTCTCTAGAGGACGCATATGATTAATACACTAAGCAAAAAGTGGGAAGTTCAAATCTACTTGGAGGTTCATTGTAAGAAATGGTTGGCAATCTATGTGTGAAAATCAGAATCCTGTGATCCTGCCCCTTCTTCTTTCTCTGAACACATGTTTTAAGAGGAAGAGAAAGGTATGAGCAGAACACTCAGGGAGAATTTTTTACATTGTTTAATGAATGGACTACAGGACCCTTCCAAGGGTTAGTAAACCAGGGTTAAGAGACCAAATCTTATCCACTATATGTTTTTCTGGAAGCAGGAGTGGCAGCCACTTCCTAAACAACATGCCTCCGGAAACTCTATCAACTTTGGTAAATGTCAATAGTTATAGAAAGGCTTCAGGCCCTTTGTTTGTAGGGTCACTATGAGTCATACTCAACTCAAAAGCAATCAACCAAAACAACAACAACTTGTTTTGTGCTCACCCTCTTTTATTATGGTAAATGTTAATATAAAACATCTGCCATTTCAACACTGTTCACATAACAATATAATGGTATTAACTGTGTTATTCATGCTATATAACTATCACTGCTATCCATTTTCAAATTTTAATGGTGCATGGCTATGTTTATTCATTTACACATCTGACAGCTGCTTTGTCCTAGAGACACAGAGCTGATTAGATGCATCAGAGGTCACAGGGCATCCAAAGCCTAAAGCATATACTATCTTAGTAAAATATTTACTATATTTTATAGGGGGAAAAAGCACCTCCAAAACTTATCCCCTATTCTAGGAGGTTCCAAGGAAGGAAATTGGAAATTCTGTCTTAAAGATATAGAAGCAAATCCACCAGATGCTCTGCTGGAGAAGGAGGGGCAATCTCCTCCTGTACCATTCAGATCAGATTTGATGGTACACACACAAAAAAATAATAAACTTAAAAAAAAAAGACCGAGAAGTTTATAATTTCTTGTTGTTGTTGTTATGTTGTTACGTGCCGTCGAGTCGCCTGCGACTTATAGCGACCCTATGTACAACAGCCCTAAACTCCGCTCTGTCCTGTGCCAATCGCACTGTCTCTGACACTCCCATCCCAATTATCCCAGTCA